AGTCTGTGTGAATCGACACTTGACAGTTCTGCCCGGAGGAGTCGGAGTCGATATTTGAATACCGGAATCGGAGTTGGAGCCAAAGTCACTGAAATTTCATCGACTACGCAGCGCTGGTTGGGTCCTTTTTCATAGAGCGTCTTGAATGAATGACACATTGAGCGGTAATGACGTTAGCAATTCCGTTTAACTTTTTCATTAGACTTATAGGTACCTACTTACGTTCGTTTTGTTCTTTGATCGGACAATTTGTTTGATTTAGGCCAAGTAAAGACTCATGTGAAAAATAGCGAAAACGACACGTGCTGGCGAAGTCTCCAATAACTCCCTGTTTCACGATTTAATGAGGAAATAACATGGAACTGCTTATCTTATTACTCACCCTGCACATAAATCTATTAATTTCTTCGCTTTTGCTGACATATAAAGACATAACCTTTTGAAAAATTGCACAACAAGCCCGCTACTACACCACACTCCCGTGTGTCACAATGCTAATCAGCGGCGTTCACTCGGCTTGCTCCTAACTTACGATAATTCTCCCGCTAGATGGCAGGCCTGAGCTCAATGTCGCCAAAAACTGCGAAGACACCAATCCATTATTATCTCATCCATGGTATCGGTATTCTGGTTTTCCGTAATTGACATCACTAATTTAGATAGTGCTAAAAACTTAGCTTTTTTAAAATTAAGAGGAAATAAGTTTTCACTTCTTCAGTTCACGGACTACTATTGTTCAAGCGTTATAACAAAGGAGCTATAATTAGCAAAAACACGAAGCCCGCTTAGCACTATCTCCGCTTAGTCTTGAATGCATAGTGCATCATGGTGCATCATTTCTCATAGAGTGAATTTGATGCATGCGTAAAAGAGTGCAATGTACTGCAGCTTTTCATATACAAGGATGAGTTGCGCTCAACACTGTTTAGCGAATTGTAGTGCTAAATCAATCACCGAAACTTATCTTTAGGTGTGAAATACACTTCCATATCATTGTGAAATTGTTAAGGTTTTACGCTGAGAGGTGCCGCATCATCTTCCACTGTCAGTTCCTTAAAATGATAAGTTCACTACGCTGCCCAACAGAGGAGGCGCCTACATTCTCTCTACCAAGCACGGTTCAAATGTCACCTGTTCCCGTGGCAACGCCGGAAGAGTCTGTCGAATGGCTGAAACAGCACAGGATCTATTACGTCATCATCAAACAAGGGTGAGGTTCTTTGATATATCCTGTATTGTTTACGATTGGTGTCTAAAAGGTCGAAAATGGTCAAGAATTAATGGTAGCAGAATTTAATTTGAAAAAGTGGTGTTGAAAGGCGAGTGGTTCCTATGCAGTACTCCCACGTGTGGTTATACCCGAAGGTTGTTTCTTCATTAGACAAACACTATTCTTTAGAATTGTGTTTTTCTATTTTACAATGCGTATCTTTTAGGATTATTATTGTTTATCAATTTATTATTATTTCACTTTACTCGACAACCATAAAGAAGTGGACATGACGTTGGGTACCTAATGGGTAAAAGTCAGGTCAGACACAATCTACATGCATACACATACAAAGTATACACATATACTATACAGACGAGATTAACTATTTTACAGTACCTATCACAACGAAATAAGGGATAAATTAAGCTATTATCACAGGCTGTTAACCCGCGCACCGACCAGGGGGCGGATATCCGCCCCCTGAGATTTTTCGTAGATAGCGGGAAAACCGCGGCGCTGCGCCGCGAAATTTGTTACGACTATTCTCTCATTAATTTTACACATGGTGTGCAAGTTTGAACCTGCTAACTTTCAAGGTCAGGTCACCAGGTCACTTTGAATGACCCAACCTCAAGTCACTTTTTTGCAACTTTGTCACCGTGCCAGAGCTACAGTAGATGTCGGAGGCCTTTGAAAAACGCAGGATGTTATAAGGTCATTAGTAGCTACAATTTGTATATCTCGGAATTTTGTTATCAATGACCTAAGGTCAGGTCAATTTCTCGACCTCCCCATTAAAAGTCAATGGGGGGGGGGGGAAATCAACTCCCTGTTTTTACCACTAAAACGGGTCGGAATGGCCCCACAAACCATACATGACTTCATAAACGATCAACCTTCACTTGCCAATAACTCCGTACAAGAACAAGATACAGCCGCGCGGGTGGTCTCATTGTGTTCAGCTCGTCAAGGCGCATCGAAATTTATACATGATGACCTCGAGGTCACGTGACCTGAGGTTAACCTTTGACGTTGACCTTTCGAAGTCAACATATATATCATTCGATGCGGATTGACAAGAGGATCACGATGATGCCCTTAGTTTGTTCCTATCTTGACTAATTCGAAATTTATTCGAGAAAAACTCCATATTTAGCGCCGCCATTTTGACTTTTTCGACCCCTGTGACGTCATCTTTGACCTGACCTGAAAATGAACTAAGTAAAAATTGTAGACGTTGTCCGTGCGTATCCCATGCCGTTTACCGCTTGTCGCTATCTTGCTTCGTTCTCGAGATCTCAGGGGGGCGGTCATCCGCCCCCCCGTCGGTTCTTTGTTGGCGCAGACCCCCGTCGTTGCGCGGGTTAACCCTCGCCGGCCGAGGGGGGGCGGGTGCCGCCCCCCCCCCCCATAGGGTTTTTTCGCGATAGCTCCGAACACGCTGGCGATAGAGAGCTGAAACTTGGCATACCTGACCTTTGATCCAAGCCGGATCTTTTGACACCAACCGCATTTTGGGTCAGGTCAGGTCACTGACCTATGACGTCATAAGTGAACCTCTGCACGGTCTTCAGATGTCGCAACTTCGCAACGCCCTCACTGCCAGAGGAGATGTCACAGGGAAATGAAACTTGCAGGATCTAGTATCCATTATGAGTCCCACAACTTGTATATCTCAGATTTTTCCGAAAGGTCATATGAGGTCAGGTCATTTTCGTGACCTCACCATTATAAGTCAATGGGCAATTCAAACTGAAATTCAAACTGCTATTCTGGCGCCGGGAACGATCTCCACTATCTCAATCACACAGAATCGTGATTTGATGCACTCCTTGCAAGGTTAGATGCGTCACTTTTGCAATGTTGACCTTGCGTGACGTCATTTATGACGTCATCAAGGTCAAATTAGTTTTTCGTCAATAACTCTTGATCAAATTGAGCTAGCGAGTCGGGAAAGGCACCAATGGACTCAGGAAGGCCTGCCGAATCGAATGATATGCGACATGACCTCTTTCGACCAACTTCGTGACCTGGGGGTGCTGACCTGACCTTGACCTGAGGTCAACACCCCAAGTTGACCTGACCCGGACAAAAAGTATATCATTCGACGCGCCTGAGCGAGGCGAACACGATGCTGCCAAAATCGGCGCTCTGCGGCCGTTTTTTGCGAAGTTATTCACCAAAAACTGAACCGTACCCTGGGGCACTTGACCTGACCTCAGAGGTCACCGGTTGACCTAGGACCTTAAAATCGGGTACCAATCTCTGCGTCTCGTAACGGCGCACACGCTCGTTTTTTCCGCGACGCGCTAGCTCCACCAGGGGCGAAACGGCGAGGGGGGGGTCGTACCCGCCCCCCCTCGGCCGGCGCGTATGTAGAAAACCAATAGGTCCGGCGAGGGTTAATCCGCGCCCCACTGGGATATGTTTTGTAACGCGACCCACTTGGGGAAGGGGGGCTATTCATAGCCCCCTTCATAACTCCGAAACTAATGGGCCAATGTTCAAAATTCAAACGGCATCTGATAGCTCTGGAGAGAAAAAACTGTCGATAGTCGATAGTTAGAGTCGAGAGAAGCGTAATTTTATTGACCTCTAGGTCACCAATGACGACACAAGTCCAGTCAAAGTAAAAAATTATGAACGTTTTGGCTGGTGAACTATTTGGGCTCTTGTCACCGGCTAACAAGTCAGATCAGGCTCATTTTCGGTTTACACACTCGTGAATATGTAGGTACGAGTACCTATATGCCTGCCCAGTTCCCAAGCTACCCTGAGTGTACCAAACTTGTAGGTACTTTGAATTTTTCAGGTCAAGGCCAGGTCATCCAAGGTCACGGAAATTTTATATCATACTAGTCAATTTATATCATTTAAAATTATTTTGGTGTACATTGTCAAAAAAGTACTGACGAAAAAAAAATGATTTGACTATTTGATAATGGTTGCTGTTTTTACTGCAAAGCATATAACGTAACTATTTATGAACATATCGGGCTAAAACTTCCTAGAGTAGGCCATCGGTATGTGTATGTTTTTTTTTAATAGTTAACTTATAGGAAACGATTTTGAAATACATTTCTTTATTTTGATATGAATTATTTTCAACAGTTTCGAAAACTTTGAAAATCCGAGAAAGCAGTTTGATAGCCCTGTGTATTTGAAGTCCTTTATGCAAAGAAATGTGATCTAGCAAACTAAGCTCTTGAGAGGCGATAGCGATTGGAGTAGTTAGTTCAATGTTTTGCATCGAAATTGGCCGAAAATGACGTCACTCTGATGTCATTTCAGGCCGATCTATGGTAGTTTCGAAATTGTTACTTCAACAAAAGGTGTTAAATTGATGCAGCCGAAGGTACTTGATGTTTTGTATTGATATGTCCAGCTGCTTAGAAGATATTGCATTAAAACGAGAGGAAGACTTTGAATAGCCCCCCTCCCACCAGTTGGCGCGGGTGAAGTGCAGAATCGAACATCATTTCCTTCAAGTTTTGTATTGTACTATCACTTATACCCACGTAGTTTAAAGTCAACGATAATATTGACTCAATTTGTAAGACTACCAGATCCTATACCAAATGTTTTTGTTATCCACCAGGAAACTATTTTATCCCGTGTCGGGCGAAATACCAAAGGAGCAACTGTCGGCACCCCTGTCCACCGAGCCGGAGCCAGAAGAGACCGTCGTCATCGATATAAAGTCCGTGGCGCCCGAGCCGGAGCCTGAGACAGAGCCGGAGCCTTCGGGAACAGAGCCAGAGGAACCCTCAGGAGTAGAGCCTGAGCAGCCTTCAGGAACAGAACCAGAGGAGCCTTCAGGAACAGAGCCGGAGGAGCCTTCAGGTACACAGCCAGAGGAACCTTCAGTCTCAGAGCCGGAGCCTTCAGGAACAGAGCCAAAGGAACCTTCAGCCTCAGAGCCGGAGCCTTCAGGAACAGAGCCCAAGGAACCTTCAGCCTCAGAGCCGGAGCCTTCAGGAAAAGAACCGGAGGAACCTTCAGGAACAGAACCCGAGGGGCCTTCAGGAACAGAATCGGAACAGCCTGCGGATGCTCCTGAGGAAGGTAAGAAGGGAACTGTATAAGTAAATTTTAAGAACTTTCTCAAAATTACAGAGTTTATTGTTTTGATTTGTTAATATTAAAACCGATGTGATATAGTATTGGTAGTACTTAATTTTCAAGCATGGGTAGGTACACCGTGCGCAGGTGGGTATTTAAAAGAGCAATGAGCGACATAGGTTAGCTGTTAGCGCATGCCTTGCAGCGACGTTGCAGCTTCCACGCGCTTTGGGATTCAATTGCCTGTCATTGCGAATAGTAGCTATCGTGCCTTTCCCGATGCTGACCGAGCTTCTCTCCCAGGCCGGTCGATCCTCGAGCCAGCTCAGGAGCCAGCGCCTGCTGAGACAAGTAAGTAGAAATGTCAATCGGATGCCGACTTTTTGGTATAAGTAACGATACGAAGCCGATACCAACTTGGTATTTGGTATTTCAATCGGAATGTTTTTGGTATTTTGTTGGCATTATGAACCCTCATTAATATATAAGAGGTTACGAAATCGGTAAAAGTTGGCATTCCCATCAGGGTATATTGAATTAGGGGGTAGGACCAAGTTTAGTAGGCATGATCTCAGCAATTATCTTGTTTTATATGGCGGTTTTCATTATCACAATATTATTTTTTATGTCATGAAGTTTGTATATCTCGGTTTTACAAAAAATAGTAGGTCAACAAAGATAAATTTCGCGAAAAAATAATTTTAGTTGGAAACATCCATTCTGGTATGCAAAATTCAGTATGAAGCCCAGTATGGTGACCGTCTAGTGTGCTTCCAAGGCTGAGTACCTGATATCAACAGAAGTTGTTTACTATTTTGCCTTACGTTGCTAGGTGGTTGCTAGGGAGCTAAGGATACTCTCTGGCGCGATCATTTGCACTCATTTTTCCTCATTATATTGACATATTGCTGTTTCTGAGACCTAAGTCATGCTAACGAAAAAGCAGTTTTCTTAAAATGTGTATTTAAGTGCCGTAGTATTAACACAGCTCTGGAATTCTGCTTAAATATCTGCAAAATCCTGATTTCCCGGAAAATTGTTGGTGGTGATGGGGATAGAGCCCGTCGATGAAAAGTAAGTCAATATTCAAAGGCTTCAAAACGCTATTTCTTGTTGTTCTGTGAAATAGCAATGCAAAGCCCGATGATAGTGCCAGTGTTGAGCTTTCCAATGAAGCATTGCAATAAGTAGTAAGGTTATTATCACCTAAGATATCTTTCATCAAATAATAGAATTCTGCCATTGTCTTGCTGTAGAACAGGGTTACTTTCAGTCTCTTGGGAACACGATTTGCCGGTCTCAGATCGAATAGCACTTCGAAAAGCGGTAATAGACAATGAAATTTCCCACCTGATAGCATCTCGGGTTTTTATATAGGGTAAGGTGCCTAATTAGCGACCCACTTAATTTGAACCGTCATTGCTCACGCTCTGTGGTTGCCACTGTGTTACTGGCTTGATTTTCGGAGAGATCGTTCATTTTTCTATTAAAATATAGTCATTTTCTGCCCCAATATTCTCTAACATATTTGTAGTGAGCATTTTGGCAAACCATTGCAAAAAACGCTAATAGGGAACTCTTCCCGATTAGCGACCGGGGAGGGTCGCTAATAAGTCTATGGGTTTCCCCATACTAAAAATGGCAAAAAATGCGACGCCTGAAAAGATGAAATATGATCTCAAAAAGGTAACCTATACGCAAAGCACTCAATCACTCGGACAGGAACGTTTATCCAACACATTTACGTAAGTAAAAACTGATCACGTGATGCACCGAAGGCGAAAAGAAGGCGGAAACCCAAATTTTTGCGGGCTATCTTGTATGATATTCGAGGTCCGCGCTGAATTCAGCACCCCTGCAGTCGGTGAGGACATTTGGCATCCCCTGCCACACATTGCAAGCTTCAGCAACAACTCATTTTCATTTCTCTCTTTTCCCCTTTCTTTCCCTTCTTGAGCTATTTGCGACCATGTCAGGCGCAAATAGGAAATATAAGTTGCGACACATTTTTAAACGCCATGCTGTGCACAGTTCAGCGATTCACTATGGGAAAACGGCAATCAGTTAAAAAAGGAATGTCGATTCAGAATAAAAAAGGTGCATCATCCTAATGTGCATCGCTTTTCATCAGAGACTAGAGGGCCCAAACACACACGTTTTGGATAAGAAACTCGTCATTTTTATTTAAACTCACCTGAAACGTCCCACCAGAAACATCGACGACCGGAAAATAATCTTAATTTGATAACCAAAGTATGGCTGACCTTTTGGCGATGTTTTTACCCCGTTTTCTCCTGCCAGTTTTTCTGTAGGGAGGTAGGTCGCAAATCGGAAAGGGTCGCTAATTAGGCACCTTACCCTATCCTGTCTAGAATTTTCATAAATCAGACGTAAAAATGGCCAATTTCGCAGATTCCGAATTTTTGCCATAGGGTCTAATGTAAGGCATGGCTACTTTCAGTCTCTTGGGAACACGATTTCCGTAGCTCCGATTGAAAAACACTTCAAAAGTCGCAGATAGTAGACGATTTAATCTACAAGATAGCATCTCGCTTTTTTCTGTATCTGGTTATGTATCTTCATAAAACCCTCTCAAATATAGTCAATTTAGCATTAAAGCCTATGGATTTAGAAGAATTTTCATATCCGACTAGATTTAGGCTACCATGTCTGTTGACCGGTTGCCTATTCCCATCATGTTCCCAAGTTGGTTCGGTTTCGGTATTTCCTCACGGTTTTGGTTGGTATTTGTCTTGGAATCTGTATTCCGATTTTCTGTAATTGACATCACTACAAGTAAGGCTTGGATAAAAGCAGCCAATTCATTAAGACAATTGAGTTAATTGAGCGGTATTGTGGGTATTGTGTATTCATACATACTTTACGATGCGTTCACTGGAGATTAACCGTGCGTTAATTCGAAGGTAGCCGTGCACCAATTTAAATTGGTGCACGCGCGTGCAGTGATGACTTTCTCGACTGAAGTTTCTCGGAAGGGTCATTGACTTTATTCTAAGATTTCCCATAAAGGGCCCTTTTTAGTGGCATGGACTAGGTTTAATTTTCATTTAAATTCGCACCGTTAAGCATGTATTAATTAGTTTAACACATGGTTTCCGTGCATAAATGGTTTTAACGCACTCGTGGATGGAATGGAGCACTTGTGCGTTAATGCACTCGTTTCACTCGTGCATTAACACACTCGTGCTCCAATCCATCCACGTCGTGCGTTTAAAACCATTTACACACGGGAAACCATGTGTTAATATATATTGTCATCGCGGCTTTCATTATCTGTGCATTGCATTACGGAGCCAACGAAAATCAGTTCTCTCAAAATATCTGCTACTCTTCCCGCATCATCATCAAGTGTTCTGACTAAGCCCGAACCTACAACAGTCCTGTTCCCTCTCTCTCTCTCTCTCTCTCTCTCTCTCTCTCTCTCTCTCTCTCTCTCTCTCTCTCTCTCTCTCTCTCTCTCTCTCTCTCTCCCTCTCTCTCTTCTCTCTCTCTCTCTCTCTATCTCTCTCTCTCTCTCTCTCTCTCTCTCTCTCTCTCTCTCTCTCTCTCTCTCTCTCTCTCTCTCTCCCTCTCCCTCTCTCTCACACTCTCTTCCCTCTTTCGTTTAGTTTCTTGCTTTCTTTCTTTCTCTCTGTCTGTCTCTGCTTATCTTTTTTTTCTCTCTCTCTCTCTCTCTCTCTCTCTCTCTCTCTCTCTCTCTCTCTCTCTCTCTCTCTCTCTCTCTCTCTCTCTCTCTCCTCTCTCTCTCTCTCTCTCTCACTCAATCTTTTATTAGCACATCGCTGAAGAATTGTGAAACCATGTCATGCGCACAATCAATCAGCTGCTTAATAAAAGGGACTCTGGCTCGTTTTTCAAAGGGACTCTGGCTCCAAGTATGTTTTTTTCGAATAAGCACGTGTTTCAGCGAGCAAAACGGGCAAAAACTGAACCTGAGAAAATCGAACGTCGACTAATTTTAACATGTGATTTCTTCCCGATAATTTCCATGCGTGCGTTTTGGTCTTTGGAACTAGATATAAGAACAGTGGTGACGTCATGCTGTCGAACTTGTATTGCAATGCAACGTATAACTACCATGGCGGGAACCGCTTACTCGATTATGACCTCGGCAACAGTGAAAAGCGAAGTTTCCCCCTAATTCGTCGACACTTTGTCCCATCGTACGGACATTGGATGCCTGCTGCCACCAGTGACGTTATCATAGTATGTTAGGTTTTTAAGACACCATCTCCGGGTACTTACCGTGCACAATTTGAAACCGAATATTTTTCGGTAAGAAATTCTTGGCCAGATGCTAAAGCTGCTAAAACTCCGTGAGAGCTTCGATTATGAACTTGGAGCCAGTCCTTTGAAAAAGAAAAACGAACTAAGCATGATGTTTTTATCCGCAGGCTCTCCCAGCGAAGCTGAGCCTGCGACCACCACGTCTTTGCCAGGTAGGAATGCTTCCATTATTTCATTATTTTGCAAAAAAGTTTCCCGTGAGGACCACGATTGATAAGAACGGTTCTAAGAAAAGGTACTAAGAAGGGTTCATGTCGAAATATGAGAGGGGATGTTGTCAGTGTGCATGAGTTACAAAGACGATTAGTCTTCAAACCATTTATGGGTACTGCTGTTGTCTGTTTTATAAACGATGGTGGATCACTTTAACCCACGAGCCGCTGGGGGGGGCATAAAGTTGCCCCCCCTTTACGTTTTGTGGAATATCTCCGAAACCTGATGACCTACGAGCGTGAAACTTGGCATAGCTTCAAATGAATACCTAGGCAATGTTTGAAGAAAGTTTGGTGGTTGTAGCATCTAAGATGACGTCACAGTGACGTCATAAAGTTTTGTCGTTTTCCGATATGGACCGTTTCTGATGACGCTGAGCATGAAACTCAACTGTAAATGAACTAGACAGGACCTGCTGTCATCCTAAAACAGCTAAGTACACTTCCATCTAGTTCCTAACCAATAATCGGCCCTTTATATTCGGTCCCATATACCTGATGTATCGTGAGGAAACTGAGAGTCGCAAATCTACAATTTGACTTATGACGTCACTGTGACGTCATCTCAAATGGGATCGACACCAAATTTGGACACAACCTCGGCTAGGTATTCAGGAAGATGTGTGCAAAGTTTCGCTTCTCTATCTCTTCGCGTTGCGACGATATCGCCGCGGAAGTAAAGGGGGGGCAAATATATGCCCCCCCCCAGCGGCCGGCGCGGCGGGTGGCGCGGAGGCCCAGCGGCCGCCGGGTTAAGCGCTGTAGAGAAAAGCGCACGTGAAGCATTGAAGCAGGCGCACCTTTCACACTGGTCAGCCAAAAATATCGTCTTACTCTTGATTTTACTTTTACCTTCTGTTCAATCCCACCGCTCGTCTCGTGCCATATTCATTTTTGCGCTTTAAAGTGATCCGCCATCGTTAAAAATAAACTATAATGCTTTGTATAATCTGCCAAACCTAAGAAAGAAAGGAGCTAAAACGCCTCGAAACACTTAACACGTACATTGACATTGGAGATAGCCTATCTGTGCTTAAATTTATCAGAAATTAACTCGGGCGCATTGGAAGTTATCTATAGAGGCACGTGCATCAATAGCTGCTTCACGTTAAATCCGTTCTTTCTTAGGTTTGTCAGACTATAGTAAGTTTAGGTTAATATTCATTCAAACTTCAAATCTTCTTTTAAAAAGGAGCTGTACTGGAATTGTGCAGCATGGAGTACGAATGTATGTACTCCTACACTCAATTCACATAAACATCTTTGTATTGGAAATTTTCTATTTCAACAATTTCGAGCAAATTTTCCTTCAACCTCTCGCGTCACTATTGTCCTGTAGGAGTGTCTGATCCTCGCGTCACTCTTCACATTTTGATTTCATTTTTAGGCTATCTTATTAAGACAACTCCGGATGGCGTCGTCACCATTATGGAGAATAACGGTGAGAAACATAATTAATGTACCTTTTGCTTTAAGTGTTTATTCATTTTGTTTAAATACTATATAAGTGCATTATCTCAGCGAGGTGTAGGTATGATATTGGAATATATAATATTGAAATATCTTTTATGGCAATATTTGGTCATCGTGTCGTAGCCTATCTCCGCCAATCTCTGATGAAGACGTGTTTTGTCTTTAGTTCTTGTCACACCTCGGGGATATTTAGATCGAAAAATATTTAGATCGATGTATTCAGAGTCACCATAGACCTGTAGAAACTGAAGTCGGCTGCAGCGAATTATAAGCCGGGTATCGTATCTTGCAGAGGAGCTGCCCAAGTACTTCACCAGCTACCCGAGCACGCTGCCGGGACTGATGATGGTGATGGTGCAGCAGCCGACCGTCGAAGACGCTGTCGAATGGCTGCTTGAACGTCACATTTACTGCATCATTATCACCAGCGACGGGTGAGGAATACGATGCCGGTGAAACGTTCTTATTGGTATGGTTATGCAAACGCCAATAATTGTGGTTTAAGCGCCATTTGTTTTAATTATCTTACATCTTTCAAGTACGCCAAATTAGTCTGTCATGGTTGCGTTGACAGTTTCGAGTTTTCGAGCGAAAATTATTTATGGTTGATCATGCTCCCATTGTTTCACACAGCAATTCACACATTTCTTGCTGATTGAACATATTCCCATCACATCACCGATGGCAAGCAGGCTCATTTTCTTAGGTTTGACCGTTACATACAGACCCATCGGTCATGCCAGGTAGACTGCAGAATTTATTGCTAGATCTGTTAACGATTCAATGTCTCCCTGACTGAGCCTCATGCTCTTTCATGAACGCATTGCCTTTGAACGTCCAATATTTACAGAGAGTTCTTCTATCCGGCCAACGGAGTGCCGTCGGAAGAGGACCTGCTGTCGTCACAGCCGAAACCCGACGGAGAGAAAATGGAGGTCGTCATTCTGAATCGTCTTGAGAAATATGGTAAGTGTCTGCCAGAATGAGGTGAATGGCGTAAATGCTTGATTAAATTTGTTCTTTACATTCTCTGAACTGAAGATCATACCTGCGGGGTCGTACGTAACAAACTCAATATAAGGTCGCATTCAGCCGAACGTCCGCAATCATTTTCCTATTCTGCATTTACTTGAAATATATTAGAATAATAAATGTAGCAGAACCATATATCTTTTGGTAATTAATGGTCCGAAAATATTTTGTAACACATCGTACGCTTCCAAATGTTTACCCTGATCATTAACGATGTTTACGTGTGATCTTTAACGATCTAATGGATATTCCTGCGCTTGTTGTCGGGTGAGCTATTCTTTCTCACACATCCTCTATCCACAGCTCCGACGTCAAATCCGGACACTGAAGCGACGCCGTCCACTGCTGTCGAGGTGCCGCAGGAAAAGCCGACCGTGGTCACAGCAAGTAAGATCAGACATATCATCAACTGTTTGTGATTAACTGTTTGGAACTATCCCAGAAATACCTTTTTAAAGGAAATATACCGCTATTAACAAATTAGTTTTTGCTACAGTCTTATTGTTTTTTATGCTTCAAATGATCAGAAAAGAAAATAATAAGAAAATAATATTTACCAAAGGAATTTTTTAAATATGTTTATATAGTAAGAACTATATTTCATGTTTGGTAGAGGCTAAACGGTGCTTGTCACGGAAACTTATTACGCGTCGACCAATCATATTGCGCAGTTCAAAACCAACTGCACGATGATTGGCTGAGTTTGGCCTCCATGCGACATGTGGCTGCATTCTGGGCATTTTTCTACAAGGCACCACATTCCTGCACAAGTCACTTTTTTCGGAGAAATGGAATATCTTTGCCTAGGGTGATCGTTGGGCCGTAAAAGCTTCTGATTTGTGCTAGTCTCAGCTTAAGCTACAAATTTGCTATTCCAGTTCAAAACTCCATGTTAAAAGTGGTATATTCCATTTAAACGAAAGGTGCATTGTCTGGATGAAATCAAAGTGTGTTAAAGTGTTTCTGTTAAGTGCATGCATATGTAATCGATAACACTTCGCCGCTTTGTTATTTTTAATCCAACGATTGTTGCGACGTGGGTATACGAACAAACGCAGTGTCCAGTTCTGATAAAATGCTTGCATGGTTACATGAGAAATGTCATGTTTTCAGGTTTCCGTGTTGTCGTGAACAGCCAAGGAGTGCCTGTTATCTACTCGAATAAGGGTAAGCGCGTAATCTTTCATTATATTCAAAGCTATAGCTTTGAATAAGTAATGTTATGTAATGGGACAATTTGTTTTCACTCGGTTATATTGACATCTAATTATTCTCCACAGCCCAAGCATCATTGTTGTCATGCCTGCGTCAATCAATATACTTACATACAATTACACATTCTACTGTAACTCCGACTTACCGTGCATTGTTGCCGTCACGTTTATGTTGCGGTCCTACCTGAGCATGCTGCCGCGTCTCTTCAGATCCGCTGCCAACCAGAAGCATTCGGTGGTCGCTCAGTACGCCAGGAATCACCTGGGGCCTGGTACCGGCGGCTACGGTAGAAGACGCCATATTCTGGCTCATTACCCACCGCGTGACCCAACTCATCCTAACTCCGAACATGTAAGGACACTCGACAGAAGCACTTCTTGTTGCTCTCTTGCCCAAGTAATGTTAATGATATTCAATACCGCTGCTTATTGTGAACATCTTTAACATTGATTACAGGTCAAGATTTCTATAGCTTATTGTATTTTAGTTCTGAGTGAAAGGAATTGTTAACTGCTGTGTCGGCTGCGCCATATCTCGTGGCGAGAACTGTCATTCCGAGACGAGTCTTTAGAAAAGTCTGTTTAATTAGGTAGAAAAGGAAGGTGACAGGCGTTTGAGGAATTCATAGTACTTTTTAAATTTTTAGGCCATGGTCTGATGATAATCTGCGATTCCAAAATTTGTCAAGCAAATGTAATATAAACAATTTATCGGAAATTCAATAAATAACAAGAAAAGGTCATTGAAAAATAAACAAATTGCAGTCTTTTCCTACAAAGTGGACACAGATTGTTTCAAATATCTACGAAGCGTGAAGATGGATCATGATGGTTTAATAGTGGCATATTGCTTTTGTTGCAGGAGGTATTACTATCCTGTTGGTAAAACGTTGACGGAAGAAGAGCTGAACTCGCTGTCACCGCAGCCTGAGGACGTTCAGGCAAAACTGGTCGACATATCTCCCCTGACGACCAGCTGTAAGTCACATAAATGTGTCTGCAAATGGTTTGGGCTGCAGAAATATTGATATGAAATTTTAATGAGAAATTCTAGAAACATAAATTTTCAATGTTTTTAAAATTTGGTTTATATTTACAGTAAACCGACCGTAATAACAGCTGTCTGTACAAAAATAGATTTGCTGCGGTCACTTGGTTTTCTTAAATGGTTTAGAAAGGCAGACACATTATTACGTAAGTGCTATAATTTGTATTACTAGACATAAAGCCAGAAATAATTCATTAATCGTATGGGTTATTTTATTGCGCATTAACGCATATTTTTCATTGTCACGTTTCCATTTTTCAGCGGATAGGCGGACAATATCCTACATAAACGGTTATCCCCAAGTTGAATATACCGGCGACGATGGAACTAAAGGTAAGCCGTTGCAGTAATATGTTTTCAGGTGAGAAATCAATACCTATTAGTGAAAAAAGGGGAAGAACATCTGTCCTCAAAAGAACAAAAGACAATTCACGTTGATGAATGAACGTTATGGTAGTGACAGAATGCATCCTAGTTTTAATTTTAAAAATCTAAATCTGCACTATTGCATGACGCCTTCGCATCCGACAAGAGTAAGTTAACAACTCGCCTCCGTTGCAGCGCCCATGGAGACGTACTACGTGCGGGGCGACCAGCCGAGCGGCAGCCTGTGGCAGCTAGTGGTCCTGACGAGCGTCTCCAGCAGGCCGGAGATCAGCTGCATCTACAAGTGCAACACCATGGGCATGCCGTGGGTGGCCTTCCGGATGGGCGATACGCCGTAAGTGGTCCCTCTCCGGCTCTCCGCAGTGACCTAGGAATCCCCTGTCCCTTCACAGGGTGACTCGTCATGTCGCCGAGGATGCAATACCGCGCTACCGTTTGATACTATCACTCTTTGCAATTGACGTTTCTTTCTTATTTCGCGTTTGCGACAATGCTCCTTCCCGCGAGTACTTAGCGGTCAGTGATTACTCGGTCGTCGGACCTCCGCGTCATCTAAACCACCCGCCGTGCGCTCCGCAGGGCGTGCTGGTGCGCTCCCAGCGCTGACGTCACCGGTCTGACGTCATCGGTGCCATCGGAACCCGGCTACATCGAGATCATCCACACGAGCACCATGAGAGAGAGGTTCTACGTGGAGATCCACACGGACGGCGTCCGGACGGCAGAGTTCCAGGCCACGCAGGAGCCCTATCAGTACATCGACCTGACACTGAAGCGGCCAGGTGCGCTGCCTGACCGCTGAGCTTCAAACTTATCAACTGTTGAATTCTACCCCCCCCTTTCTGGCTTACTTTTTAGTTCTTTAACTATTGCATTTGCCATGTTGGTGTTATTCGTTCAATCGAAAGCTGGTTCGTTCTGTTAATGTCCGCCACTGAGGTTGTCACCCTGCTGTGCACCCTGCTCTGAGCGCTGACCTCCGCCCCCTCCGGCAGTGACGGCCGAGTCTCGGAGTGTGCCGCAGTCGTTCGTGGCCGAGCGGCCCGACTCGCTGCTCTGTTACACGCTGCTGGGCCAGGACCGTTACGGCTGCAGCCCGTACTGCTACGCCAGCGGGTTCCGCTACAGCGCACAGCAGACCACCGCCGACGGCGCGTTCAAGTGCTCGTGCTGCATGGAGAGGGAGGGCAGCGAGCCGCCGTCGCTGCAGCTCGCCGAGGAGCCGGCCAGCAGCCCGGGCTTCTGGCAGATGTTCCTGCTGCCCGCGCCGCCTACCAAGACCTACGAGCCAAGTGAGACGATACCACATTACGCTGGCTTTTAGGATATCTTAATTTATTTGTTAGCAATACTTTGTAAATCACAAATGCTATTTGATATGATGTGCAAAAACCGTTGGGGAATGAAAATACATTCATGTTACTATTTCCCATCTAAGGATACCATACCAACATGAGTGGAGCTTTTCCAGGGAAGTTGGTGGGACAAAAAGTCGTCAAACCCACAATGTCCGATTATGAAGGTGAATAAAATGCCACACTGAATCAATTCCTATCATTACAGATATAATATTTCGCATTAAACAGACCTTCCAAAGCTCTTCAATGCGAAAAAGATTAATTTGCAAAGCAAGAAAGTCTTAGAAATAAGCTAAAGTTGGTGAGGCAAAACGCTTATTGGTGGGAAAAATACCAAGTTGATGGGGCAGCCGCCCCACCAACTGTATTGATAGGAAGCTCCGTCCTTGCCTACCAATGTATGTATCATACATTTATTTTACTGATCTGTTGCAGATGCGGTAGAGATGCAATGCATGTTCCTGTCGCCAACGAACATGGCCTTGGTTGTCAACGCAAGTAAGTAAATATAAAATGTTTGTCTTTCACAGCACCTTACTCATGTGTTGTAATTTTGGTGCATCCGGTCAGAACCCTATTCCGGGCGGGGGGGGGGGCTTTTAAGGCCCCCTCAGGTTTTTCTTGTGCCATTGCCAAACGCCGCAAGACTGAAAGCTCATACCTGGTGACTTTTCTGAAGCATTCATTGCGTACATTTTGACAAATAAAAAATTGCCGAGTCAGGTCAGGTCACCAGAGGCGGTTTGTTGACTCCACCTCAGAAAACTTTGCAATCACGCCAGAGCTAGAGTTTTTGACTGATCAATTTCTTCTCTTTATGATTTTGTAAGGGTACCGGTACGTGCAATTTGCTTATCTCAGAATTTCTTTATATGTGACCTGAGGTTAGGCCAAACTCGTGACCTTTACATTGCAAGCCTATGGGAAAATATTAAAATGCCTCCTGCTTCGTGTAAGCGAGTCAAAACCACACGATTATTTTAGTACTATGGAAGATTATCTCATCGGTGATGATCCTGGTGCTGCTTATTGACAGGGGCACCGGGAAAGGTCATCTGAGGTCATGTGACGTCATAAATCGTTTTGTGTCAATAAATCACGACATGATGGTGCTAAAGACGTGTAAGTGGTACCAGCCTGGTCAAGGCGCCTCTTCTGGTATGCAGCATGACCACACCCCACAACCTCATTGGTGAATGACCTGGGTCAAATATCGAATTGACCTGTGAATGTCATCACATACTTTTTTCTCATCGCTTCGACAAGAACATCAAAAATGTATTATGTTTATGTCTATATGTTTCTTAATTCAAAAGTTATATAAGTAACTAATCCCGAAACATTTTATCGTTGAGGACTTCTGTTGACCTCAATATTGACCTGACCCGAAAATGTTTTTTGTTTATAAAAGTTTTATATCTTTAAACGACCTATCAAACGCCGTCTGCTGTTTGTCGCTCCGATATGTGGTTTTTGAGATGTGAAGGGGGGTCGAACTCCCCCCCCCCGCCCAGAATCGAACCTTCCAAAGCACGCCCGGAATAGGGTTAAGACCGGTCATGGAGTTTAAAAAAAAATCGAACAAATGCAGTGTTACGAAAGTGCAGGTAATCGGTTAGGCAAAGTACGCTGCCAAAAGCCATGGGCATGAGTGGGCTCTGATGCTGCATGATCTCCTTTTGCCAGAGGTACAACAGCCAAAGTTTGTCGATCCCAGTCTGCTGAGTTCCGTGAAGGGATCGTTCACGCCCCCCGACAACAGCCCGGCGAACCGCGAGGACTGCGCCTACTCATGTCTCTACATGGGCTTCTTCGTGGTGGTGGTGTCACAGGACGTGTGTATGTGCCTGCCCAGCACCGAGCTGCCGCTCTCCGATGACGAGACGGCCGGCGTGTCTCTGTACGACATCACAGAGTTCCAGCCCAAGTCGGAGCCCGGAGAGTCCACAGGTGAGACGGTATTTATGGGCGCCCGATTGCTAACAGAATTTAGCCGTAAGTGTGATAATCGTTCATTTTTTATCTGGATGGTCCTCGGTTGCATCTATTTTTTTCTTCTGTAGAGTATTTTGGTCGCACATAAGTCGTCAATTTCTGGTCGTTAGGGGAGGAAAATCATTATTGCGTTTGCTACGGATGTAAAATTAACCATGAATACGCAAGGTCAGATGAAATTGAAACTTGCATGCGTTCTAGTAGACGGTGTGATAAGAGTTCTGGACTGGTGTTGAAAAGTCAACACCATGAGAAAAAAATTGTCCTGAAGCTGTTGACATGGAGATAAACATTGTTTCCATTACTAGGCATCTATGCAGACGACAACGATCATCAGCTAGGTAGGATGGCACACGCTACTGTCTGAAACTGTCCCTTTTCGTTTCAGGAATTTCCTACACAATCTATGGCGTACCCAACGATTACTACCGCATTCTTGTCAACTCCAGTAAGTATAACTTCTGGAGAAAGTACCATTGATACTTTTTCAAGCACCTTCACGATAAGTGGGTCCATTATTCGCCTGCTTTTTGTCATCGTTTTACGGTAGTTCGATCCATTTTTATTGTTCTTGAAATTTCAATTAACACATCAGTGCTTGTTTAAGTGTCTTGATATACTCAACATACCAGTTGCAATAAATATTTGCAATATTAACCCGAGCCCGTTGAGGTCTGGCAGGTTCCACGTCCTGTTGGGAAGGGGGGGGGGCAAAGGGCCCCCGGGCCGTCCTCGTATCTCAGGAATACAAACGGCATTCGAAAAAGCTCATCGAGATGCACAAGATAGGATATCAATGACCTTGATATTTGTCACAGGGAGGTCAAACAAGGTCAAATCAGTCCAATTTACAATGACGAAAAGTCGGTCATGAAAATGAAATATAAGCTTCAAAATGAGTCTGGATATGATGTATATGATAGATCTGGCATGTGGATAGTCGCCTGAGTGGATGATGTCCTATGACGTCACAACAGAGGTCAGCATCGACCAATCAGAAAACACTTTCGTGAATCGTAAGTAAAGGTATGTTAAATTGTGAATATTCGAGTCTTTATGAAGACATATCATATATATGTAACCACAGAAACCTCCTTGACCATTTATCTCGGACCTATGACGTCACAGGAAGATCAAATAAGTTCAACTTGTACCGGTTTACAACGAAAAACAATTTTTTGCATAAAAGTGACTTTACTCACGTGAAGGATCATATTCAGTCAGGAAGAGGTTGATAGGTAGGGGAGAGTGGGGAAAGATGCCCAGGGGTTTGTTATGTCATATATTATTCGAAAATGACCATCGGAAAGCAAAAACTTGTAGTTTCAACGGAAGCCGACATCATTTTTCTTCATAAAATATCACTCTTTCGTGCTTGAAATATGATAATTTTTGGCTATCAAGCATTTTCTCGAAGAACTGAAAGAGGGCACCTTACCGCAAAGGGTAAGAAAGACGCCCCCTGGCGTTGGGTAAGATGCCCCCTGCACTATAAGTGACATAAATGGGCACGTGAATTGCCTGAATGAATCAGTAGTCCCTTCGAGCCTGCAGTAAACACTAAACGCCATCGTAAGTGCCCTCAAAAGTAGTCGTGAGGGGCTTCAGAGGTCATCTTTAGGGCCACCAGAGTCCAGCGCGACCAAACAAGCCTCCGTGGTGGCATTCGGAGAACGTTGTGGGGCCCTTATAGGTCTTCATCAGTCTTGAGGGCCCTCAAGTCCATCGTGGGGACCTAAGATGCCAGCGCGGCCCGTGGAGCCAGCGTGGGAGCCCTCAAAGGATGTCGTGAGGGGCCTTGGAGCTAGTAATGGGGCCCATAGAGGCCGTCGTGAGGGCTCTCAGAGTCAGATGCCGCCCAAAAAGTCGCTGTGTGGGCCGAGAGACCGGCATGAGGAGCACCCGACCGTATTGGGCTCTCAATAGTCCCAGATCGGATTTGTCTCTCATCACAAGTATGTACTAAATGATTCGACGGGTTGCTTTGCTATCTCGGATTATTGAAATTTTTTAATTTGGACCCCCAAAGATCAAGCAAGTAATTTTTCGGATAGGTATATTAGCCGAAAAACCCAAAAAAAGTTTTTTTTTATTTTCAAAAATTCGGAATGTATATGATAGTACCTACCGTCTTCTATCTACACACCAAATTTCAGATCGATATCTCTTTTTTGGCCAAGTTATAGCAACAAAAAAAAACTGTTCAAAAATGATGACGTCAAATTTTCAAACTCAATTTTTGGCAATTTTAGACCACGTATAGGGCAAAACAAAGACCACCAGTAGACTCCCTGTGACGAGCTGCATCGAATCGATACCCATTTAATGCAAAAATATCACCTTTGAAATTAGACCTAATTTGACCTCACCTTGACCTGACCTTCACCAGAACGTAACCTAAGCTGGCCGCAAAGGCTACCTGACCCACATAACCACATTTGTCATGTAAAATGGACCATAAAACATGTATCGCACGACACTTTCATATTGTGACCCACAGTGACCTGACCTCTGTGACCTGACCTGGTATCAGTGACCTCAGATAGCAAAGTATGTGTTTGACGAACAATGTACCATCGATGGTTTTCAATTACTTACCAATTTACTCGATTTTACAACACATTTCTTGAAATGCCTGTGAACGGTGAAAATCCGACCTTTGACCTGACCTGTGACAACATCGGTTTGACCTGGGTCAATGAAATTTGGTCACAAGGTAGTTCCCCGGGGGGCTATCGAACGCCGTTTGAATTTTGAAAATCAGCCGGTAAATTTCCGAGATCTTAGGGGAGCCGAAACGCCCCCCCCCCCCCCTCCTACGGGTGGTAGGGTCCGCCGATAGCCCTACGGCCTACGGGGCGCGGGTTAACGGCCCACGTCTGCCCATGCAGAGTGGCTGCCAGCCGGCTTCAGTGCCACCCGGCCGCCTGGCGCCTGGGAGGACCAGGGTCCGAGGAATGTTAACGACTGCATCAACACCTGCTCCGAGAGCTCCAACCTGTTCATGATGCTGCATACTGTGGACGACGTCACGTCCTGCTGGTGTGCGCCCAGCGCCGACCTGACCGTCCTGGACCAGGAATACCCCACCGAGGCCGGAGCCTACCAAGTGCTGGATATCAGCGAACTCAAAATAGGAGCCGTGTCCTCAGTCCAGTATCCAGATGGCTTTGAAGTAACATCAACCAACCTTGCAAATGATTATTGCACATTTACTTCCAAGTTGCCTGGTAAGTAGTTCGTGGTTTATGTGAAGGATGGTTTTAAGGGTGTACTTTCTTCTTTTTTACAGTTATGATAGGTAAGAGAACCGAGAGAACCGATCCAGGAAAAAAACATGTGCGTCTGTAAATGCGACTGAACACGAGTTCATGCCGTTTAAATCTCCACTGCATTTCATTAATAGTTATAACATAAAATAGGATGAATGATTTTTTCGCTAGCTTCATTTGTCGTTTAAATCCCCACTGCATTTCACCAAGATAACATAAAACAAGTTCAAGTATTTTTTTGCTACCTTCACTCAAAATGTGCCCTAAGACGTACGTGAGTGTTGACAGTACAGTCAGCTTACACCTTGCAGGCTGCCCGCTCCAATAATGATAGTAATGGCCTTGTCGTTCGCGTCCTACCTCAGTTCCTACCGGGTAAAACATCGTAGAAAAAGAATTACGTTGAGAGAAAAAGACGCTCTACTGTAACACTATGAATAATAAATGAATAAAAAACCGTGCACTTATCTAAAGAAGTTGCCTATTCACTAGCCTGCTGAGGCCTGCTGAAAATATGTGCATGACAAAGATTCAGCGAGTGTTCCGTATTGCTTCACCAGGTGAGAATCAGGCCTCCGAGCTCACCACCTACTACACGGACTCTGCGCCGTCCTCGCTGCAGCTGTACCCGATGAGCCAGAACCGTCCTGCCGATTGTGTCGCCTCTGCTACCTCTATGATGTGCGATGTTGCCATTTGGAACCCGTCCGACCCTGAGAAGCCGTGTCAGTGTGGCCAGCTCATCAACGACGGCCCCCTGGGACTGACCGATACCTCCGTGCCGGACGTCGCCGGGTATATGGAAGTGATCCAACTCCGCGCCTTGCCGTCTGCTTTCTCAGCACCAGCTGGTAAGCTTCTCAGTAACACGGGACGTTATACGTGTTGAAAGACGAACCAATTTCTTTTCAACAAACAAACCTTGCCGTAATGCTTTGGTGTAGTTCACATTTCAGTTGTCTGCAACGTCTTTGAACGTCAGCCCCATGGAAGTACCGCATGGGCAAATTTAGCCTCGCTGCGCATGTAACTTTGATGAGTGATTTTGTATCCCTCGTAATCCATGGATAACAATTAAAAATTTGTTTCAGGAATCACCTACACAGTATTTGATTTATTCGGAGGGTACTACCGAGTGATCGTCAATAATGGCAAGTATCAACACCTACTCACTTAAAGTACAAAGAAATGCCTAATTAGGTTGCAAGGAATAGGTACGAATAGGTAGCTACTATGCCTTGAAATCCCAAATTATCATTGTCTAACTACATAGAGTGCATTACAATGTTTCCACTGCTATGTACAATGTTTCTTGCTATGTTTCCACGATGTTTCCACTGCTACAACTGCTGAACAAACCGTAAAAGTAATTTAAACAGGAAAACGTTTTTAGGGGTTACAAACGAGCGAGCGAGAGATTGAACCCTGCACATCTGCAAGTGCGAGGGATCGGCTTCCTGCTGACTTGTGCATGACACCCTACTAACCGGTCCCTAACGGTGTGTCAGATATGTGCCAAATTGGCCCAGCCGTTCTTGTGATTTGGAAGCGACATATCTCATGTGCGAACGTGCAAACTGGGCCCCAACTGTCTTGCGCATCAACCTTGACCGATCCCTAACGGTGAAGCAAATTTAAGCGCATCCGACCCAGCCTTTCTCGAGACACCCCTGCACTTGTGTGCCTAAGTTCAGTAGCACCTCAACTGCGGCACATGAAAATCCATCTACCATGTGGGTGCCTTCATGCGTGGGAAGTTTTAGTGCAATCGTGTGATGAAAAGAAAATGTTTGGGCCGCCCTAACCTACCATGACGTACTGTCCACACTTTAAAGATTGAGTGAGCTTAAACTCAAATGATTATGCTATAATTCTTACTGAAGGCTTTACAATTGCTACTCGAAAAAATGTATATTTGGGAATGCGATTTCTACTGATGAGAATGATAGCCTACTGATAAACGGAAAGGGTGGGTCTCAAGCATGACTTTTACCGACTCTGTCCACGGCCATCTGTTTTTACTACGCTCCCTCAAAGAAATGTGTATCAGATAGCAGATGCCGATTGACGGTTCGGCAGTTTCTGACACTGACCACTTTTTCACAGAGGTCATCCCTGCGGGATTCAGCGCGTCTCAGCCCGACGGAACGTGGACGAGCTTGGGCCAGATGAGCATCTCAGAGTGTATTGACACATCTGACCAGGGTAGCGACTCGTTCCTGATGGTGCGGACGGTAGATGACGCGACGTCCTGCTGGTCGGCACCGCTTGTGGACATGAGTCTCCTAAGACAGCAATTCCCCAGCGTGTCGGGAGAATACCAGGTGCTAGACCTGAGCGCGATGAAAATAGGAACGGCACTCACCGTCACGCACAGCACTGGTTTTTCGGTGAAGTCGACAGTCATCAAGAACGGCTATCATACATATGCTGTGACGATGCCAGGTGAGGCAATCAGACATTGTTGCGGTCGCGGAACCTGTTAAAGATGTAGGTAACGCCACCTTACCCATGGCGCAGTCATTCAATGCAGGACCTCGTCTAAGGAATTTTTACTGCAGGGGGGGGGGGGGGGGGAGACTGAAGGAGCCAAACCTAGGGTACCCTCAAATCCTGTTTTCTCACCGGATTTAGGCCACTTATTTTTTGTCACAGCCTTGACACCATTATTTTTTAAATAAAAAATAGGCCATCCGTGCCATGCTTTAACATTACTCCCTCACATTGCCCGACCAGATAGTGATGAAAATAGGCATTTCTCCGTGTTGGGCGTCTGACTGAGTGGCAGGGCCAATTTTGTGGAAAATTTTGTGAAAAGCTAGTTTGGTGAAAAGCTCATGTTTTGACTGGGGGACAAACGTTGGTCACTGAGCAATCCGCTCGACTGGGGAGGCGGTTGCCCGCCCCCCCCCCCCCAGTTAACATGGTAACCGAAGCCCTGATTCAATGGCTATGTGAGAGACGATATTTTTGTATTGAATTGAAGATCTTCATCTCGAACATTAGTGTAATATTGCATAGGGCTGGTAGGGTCTGAGCCCTACCAATGATTTCGGAATTTTAACATTAACCCCATGGCGCGGCATGGTAAGAATAACTTTGGTATCCTAAAATTAATCTTTACAGTCCTATCAATAACTTTCGGAAACCGACGCCGTTGATCTCAAACTAACGTTTTTTAGCCCCTTATTAGATGGCAAGTAAATAGAAGAATGTCTCTTCGACCTAGCAGGCTACCGCTTGAATAGAAACGTGTCCCCGAAAATTAAAACCAAAAGTGAAAGCGTTACAAACATATCTGACGAAGACGCTCCTGTGTTCCTGGAAGGCTATTTTTCGCCTAGGTCGGTTGTCATACGTCCAATAGCCCAGTGCCTGCTATGCTTAGTTCCTCAACTAAACAATCATCTTTGAGGAATCAACACAAATGAGCGGCGCCTGGTGCAGTGACTTAAAGTTAACAAGTAACCTATTTGTTCGATTAATTATTACTTTGCGCCAATGATTAGCGAATGCAATGAAAATTGTGTTCTCAATGTAAATGCCATCTCCTGTTTTTTTTTTTTCAGGCTCGACGGAACCGTCTGATCTGACGGTCTACTACACCAAGTCTGCTCCCTCCTCGCTACAGCTGTTCCCAATGACTGAAAACAATGCTGCGGACTGTGTTGCTTCCTCCACAAGCATGTTATGCAACGTTGCCGTGTGGAATCCGTCCGAGTCTGAGAAGCCGTGTCAGTGTGGCCGGCTCATCAGTGGAGGTCCTCTGGGACTGACCGATACCTCCGTGCCGGCTGAACGTGGATACATGGAGGTCATCCAACTGATTTCCATGCCTCAGCCGGCCTCCACTGGTGGTAAGTTATTCGTCTGCTTTTGCTATTCAGATTGCTCTTTGCAATTTATGCAGTTTTCTGGCAGTCACTCTAAGGTTGCGCTATTAATTCCTTCTATGTCGGATGATATCTTCGGTTTCACGTTCTCTGATGACGTGTTACGAGTCCTAAATAGGTACTGTTCCACTTAAAATGCATTGAACCAGTCCATCTGATCGATGCGAGGAATGCCGTCAATGTCATGAAAATAATACATCCAGCTATTCTCACGCTAGACCAGGTCTTTAGAAGAGTCCGATCCATCAGGCCAGAACTGGCGCTCAGCAGCGGTTTTTTACGGACTCTGTTCGTGGGGAGTGCTTGCTGCACGGAATAGCCTAACCTTGTCTTGTGCGGTATTTGGGTATAGTCATAGTCCCTTTGGAGAAGACACGAACACCAGCGAGCCTCCTTATGTCGAAAGCTGGGCGTTTCCGTAAATCTCAGCGAACGCAGATGACCAGCACTTAAAGTGTCTATTCGGGAAAGACAATTGTTTAAACATGTGACGGTTAACTGATGCATTTTATTTTATCGATGGTCCTTTATCGGTAAAAGTGTTGTTAATTCCTTGAATTTTGTTTCAGGTCTTTCCTACGCGGTGCAGAACTTGTATGGAGGATATTACTATGTGATCGTAAACAATGGTAAGAAGAAAACTAAGCTGCAAAATTTCAGAAGCGTATTTACTATTGATACCTACTTTTAAGCGTCCTGAAATTTCAAGCTGTACACATACAATGCTGTGCTCGATATACTTAGATGTACATACATCGTTTTGGTTAATATTTAACCCGCGCCCCGTAGGGGGGGGGGGCCGAAACGGCCCCCCCTGTCCTTTTCGGTCGATATCTCCTAAACGGCTGGAGATATCGCCAGCAAACTTTCAGGACCCCTCCGGGCATCAATTTTACACATTGTGACCAAAAATTTTTCCAGAGGCCATGATAGGTTGGCCACAAATGACGTCAGAGTGACGTCATGTTCTGTCATTTTCGACCGAAAAAAGACCTTCACGAGAAGACCTGTCAGGACTACAGCTTTGAAGATACAGAAAAATGATCAAGACATAAAAGGTGTAGAATTGACAGGGCTACAAAACTGCTATCTCGAATTTTTGAAATTTTTGAGTTTTGACCCCCAAAAATCAAAAAAGCATTTTTTTGGATATATTCGCCAAAAAATCCAAAAAGTTTTTTGAGTTTCGAAAAAACCGGAATATATGTGATAGTGCCCACCGTCTTCTATCTACATACCAAATTTCAGATCGATACCTCGTTTTTTGGCCAAGTTATAGCCAAAAAACTGTTCAAAAATGATGACGTCAAATTTTCAAACTCAATTTTTGGCAATTCTAGAACTCGTAGAGCAAAACGAAGACCACCATTAGACTCCCCGTGACGAGCTGCATCGAATCGATACCCATTTTATGCAAAAATATCAACTTTGAAATTTGACCTAATTTGACCTGACCTTGACCTGACCTTCACCAAAACGTGACCTAGGCTGGCCCCAAAGGCTGCCTAACCCACATAATCGCATTTGTCATGTAAAATGGACCATAAAACATGTATCACACGACACATTCATATTGTGACCCCCGGTGACCTGACCTCGCTGTGACCTGACCTGGTATCAGTGACCTCAGATAGCAAAGTATGTGTTTGACGAACAATGTACCATCGATAGTTTTCAATAAATTACCAATTTACTCGCTTTCACAGCACATTTCTTGGATTACCTGTGAACGGTGAAAATCTGACCTTTGACCTGACCTGTGACGTCATCGGTTTGACCTAGGTCAATGAAATTTGGTCACAAGGTAGTTCCCGGGTGGGGCTATCGAACGCCGTTTGAATTTTGAAAATCGGCCGGTAACTTTCCGAGATCTTAGGGGGGGGGGCCGAAACGGCCCCCCCCCCCTACGGGTGGTAGGGTCCGCCGGTAGCCCTACGGGGCGCGGGTTAATAGCATGCCTCTCTCGTTGGTCCGTTACTGATCCACCAATGTGATTGTCTGTTTGTCACAGAGGCTGTCCCAGTGGGCTTCAGCGCAACTCAGCCCTCGGGCGACTGGAAGAGCTTGGGTCAGATGAGCGTCTCAGCGTGTTTGGGCACATGTTACCATGGCGACGGCCTGTTTATGATGGTGCAAACGGTAGATGGCGTCACGTCCTGCTGGTCTTCCTCAAGCGTAGACATGGGTCAGCTGAGCCAGACGGTTCCCAGTGCACCGGGAGCATATGAAGTTTTCGATATCAGCTCGATGAGAATAGGATCGCAAATGGCTGTTTCGCACAGCAGTGGCTTCGTTGTAAAATCGACAGCCGCCAAGAATGGCTACTACACATTTGATGTGACCATGCCAGGTACGTTAAATGGATATTTCAATATCAGCCACCATTTTCAAATCAAGTATTTATTGACAGCTCTTCATGCTGAGATCACAGAATGTTTTCCTCTCAGCATCTTAATTTTACATTCTACAGTCTGACAAATCTAAGAAAGAACGGATTTATAGTGCACCGGCCATTGATGCATTGCATTTATACCGTGAGCCAGACTATAGTCTGGTTCAGCGTTTAGGGTTCTAATAGCACAGCATTATGTCATGAATGTATGTTAATCGTTACCTTGCTCGTATTGTGATATGGGCAAAATGCCAGAACACCGTAGTTACTGTTGTTTTTTTTTGTCATTGTTCTTTTTTCTTGCCCAGTTGACATTATATCATTTCCGCAGATAAGGAGGAATCGTCCGAGCTGACGATCTACTACACACAGTCTGCTCCCTCATCGCTACAGCTCTTCCCAATGAGTGAGGGTCATCCGGCCGAATGCGTCGCTTCTGCCATGGGAATGATGTGCGATGTTGCCATTTGGAGCACATCCGACTCGGACACTTCGTGCCAGTGTGGCCAGCTCATCAACGACGGTCCTCTGGGACTGACCGATACCTCCGTGCCGGACGTCGCCGGGTATATGGAGGTCATCCAACTGATCTCTGTGCCACCAGCCAGCACTCAGCCTGGTAAGTTTATTCAGTCGTTTCGTATGTCTTCGACATCATTTTATCCATAAATGTACATACGCTCTTCCAGCAAGTATAACACCGTCCTTGTATGACGAGAATTAAATTGGACGATTTACATTTCAAAGTTCGCCCCGCGTGTGTTCTCAATAAAAAAGTTGTCAATAAAAATGGATTTTTGAACATCATGGCTCGAGTATTCGTTATCCAATCACTCCGAATAGCATTTGTTCATTACATCATTTTGGTCGAGACACTTTGAGCGGATCTTCACAACACCCTATCATGAAAAAAAAAACTTAGAATGGCAAGCTAGTTGAAGTACCTGACCCATTGTTTTCTGTTTTGCAGGCAGCTACATTCCATTCTGGTTGACGCCAAATGTGCACAGATTAATCCTTGCGGGCAGTAAGTAATATAACCCAAGCATACAAAAAAGTGTCGAAACATAATTAATCCCTCTGCTAAGGCATGGAAACTTCCATTTTTCTAACAAGCAAGAAGCCACTGTTTAGACGCGTTTCATAGTGGCTCTTCCTGGAATATTTTGTAGTTACAGTTTGATTTCATCATATCACTTGTATCTTTGTATTTGACCTTTCGAATTTTGGCTTTAAAAGCATATGAAACGTTTGATTCACATTCGTTAAATAGTCGTTCTTTATGCAACTACATATTCTTATATTCTTTACGACCTTATTAGTATTCACCCGACGGGTTTTGCAACGGTGTGTGCACCCACCCCTTTGTACTTCTTCCTGTGTTGTGGAGCGTCCATAAACAACTCTCAATTCTCCATGCGGAGTGTTGCCTAATTTAGCGGCGCTGCTCTGAGACCGTGGTCTGCTCTGAGACCGTGGCCTGGTCTGAGACCGTGGCCTGGTCTGTTCTGAGACCGTGGCCTGGTCTGCTCTGAGACCGTGGCCTGGTCTGAGACCGTGGCTTGGTCTGCTCTGAGACCGTGGCTTGGTCTGCTCGCAGGGGTCGTTCCGGTGAGCTTCGCTCAGAGCGCGGCCGTGAACAGCGCCACCGGCGTCAGCCTGGACCTGACCTTAGGAGATAATTGCGCCATGAAATGCTTCCAAATGTACTACAGTGCAGCAGCGACGACCCAAAGCTCATGTCGCTGTCTGGAGGATCTCAGCAGCGTCACGACACAGCAACAATACGTGGCAGGCGATAACCTAGTGTCCGTGCTAAACTTCGATGAGTTTCTGCCAAAGCCAGACGGTAAGCTTTGATGAGCCGGATGAACTGAGACTAAAATGGTGTCGGTGGGTTTAACTATCAACGTAATCTTGTTGTGGTTAATCAACCTCATTCGGTAAAATGCTAAGCTCAAGCACGATACCAGTGCATGTTCACGACTAATTGACCTGATAAATAAAGCCATAGATAACATGAATCAGGATTCATGTTGTCGTTGACAAAGCCAAGGAAAACATTCGACAAATTGGTTTCAATTTGCGAACAGAAACTCATATTTTTAACTTCTGTGTCACAGCCCTCGTCCAAGGAACTTCAGTATCATTTCCATCAAAAACGAAAGGCTCCTTTGAAATGCACTCATAAAACGCACTTATGATTTTATTCGCACCAGCAACTCGTTGTGCATTGCTTTGAACATGTTCGTCCTCCTGATTTGAAAATAAAGTCGCGCATTGTCGTTCCGATTATTTCTTGTATCCGTTCATTGACAGGATCCCTTCTATTTGACTGATAGACTGAATCCTTTTTTCTCAGGAACAAGATCGATAGCTACTACGCAAGTGCCTGGCCTGCATTACGGCCGATTCATTCTTGGCAATGGTAAGAATTTGCCCTATACTGTTGACACAATGACTGAAAAAATGCTGCCGTGGCCGTGATGCTTTTCCGCTAAAATTGTGCTATCTTTGGGTCTTTTTGCATTATTGCCGCCATTACTAGTTTATTCCGATTCTACTTAATATCCTAATGTAGTTTCTTCACTTCATCATAACCTGTTGTACACGTTTCGCGGGTTTTAGCGGTAAGTTTTGCGCCTAGAAAATTTAGTGTACTTCAGGCTATATCTTCGTCGTCTTAACCCTATTCCTGGCGGGGGGGGGGCCTCAGGAGCCCCCCCTGAGGTTTTTTGATTATATCTCCCAAACGCGTTGAGCTAGGAAGCTCAAATTTTCTGACTTTTCCTAAAAGGCTTCTACGCAACATGTCTGAAAATTTTGAGTTGATCTGACCTCAGGTCAGGTCACCAGAGGCGGTTTGGTGACGCTACCTCAGAAAAGTTTGCAATCACGCCAGAGCTAGAGTTTTTGACCGATCAATTTCTTCTCTTCAGGGTTTAGTTAGGGTACCAGTATGTGCAATTTGTATATCTCGGAATTTTGATATCGGTGACCTAAGGTCAGGTCAATTTCGCGACCTTCCCATTATAAGTCAATGGGGGAAAAATCAACTCCCTGTTTTTACCACTAAAACGGGTCGGAATGGCCCCATATACCATACATGACTTCATATACGATCAACCTTCACTACCTTGAGGTCTGTTTTGCTGTTGGGCAGCTGTGAGGTCATGTGACGTCATCAAAGGTCACCAAAGGTTTTTGGCCAATAACTCCGTACAGGAACAAGATACAGACGCGTGGATGGTCTCATTGTGTTCAGCTCGTCAAGACGCATCGAATGATATACATGATGACCTCGAGGTCACGTGACCTGAGGTCAACCTTTGACCTTGACCTTTCGAGGTCAATATATATATCATTCGATGCGGATTGACGAGAGGATCACGATGATGCCCTTAGTTTGTTCCTATCTTGACTAATTCGAAAGTTATTCGAGAAAAACTCTCTCCATATCTAGTGCCGCCATTTTAACTTTTTCGACCCCTGTGACGTCATCTTTGACCTGACCTGAAAATGACCTTTGTAAAAATTGTAGATCTTGGCCGTGCGTATCCGATGCCGTTTACCGCTTGTCGCTATCTTGCTTCGTTCTCGAGATCTCAGGGGGGGGGGGCCGAATCGGCCCCCCCCCGCCAGTTTCTTGTCCCGGCGGAGCCCGCCAGGAATAGGGTTAAGCTTTTAAGTGTTGAAGATGCGATCGACTTGTTGGGTAACAAGCCCGCCATTATCGTGTAAAATGGCTTCATCGTAGATCGATTAGTTTCTGAGATGTAACCGGAAATGTAAAAGTGCAAAACCTACCGCTCAATCTCGCGAGATCTGTACCTACCTAGCTATTTGGCACTCGGCATGACAAATGTAAATGCCGTATGGTTCAGAAATGCCATTTCAAGGCATTCCCATGTAACAAAGACTTTCCGCCAACCAACCGGATGGCGGCACACAGTGTTGTTTGGCGCTGGAGCCGTCCGTCTGACAGTCCGCGTTCTGCCCCTGCCGACACAGCTGTGATGGCGTGTGGCTACACGGCGGAGCCTGTCGATCCCGCTGCTGGGCCGCCCGGAACCTGGCAGGAGGCCGGAGAGGGAGCCGGACTGTACGACTGCGCTGCCGCATGCGGCAGCAAGGGAAAGTTCTACGGAGCCATGCTGCCGCTTGGTGAGCGTAGATTCAAATGCTGGTGCGCAGAGAGCGTAGACATGTCTGCATTCAGTACGGCAATGCCGGAGGTCGGAGGCCGGGCGCAGATTGTAGACTTTCACAAGGTATTCGGCAACTAAGGCTAATCCGTGAAGCAGCATGCTTACCATGTATGTAGTAGGTACAGGGCTATAACTGATGTGCTACGATGGTGATTTATACGATACTACACTGTGTGACACGGGCGTGTGTGGGTGGGAGCGATGTCAATATGTTTGCCAGCTCTGTATTGGGAGAAGGCCCTATCTGTGGGCTTCCTTTGTACGCGATGAGTTTATATTGGTGTATCTGTACCCCTTTGCTCGGCTGCGTGCGGTGAGGTATCCTGGAAACGCGCTGGCTACTGTCGCAGTATTGCTGCAGCGTGGGTGTAGATATTTAGCTGAAGATATTATGGGGCAATGCTTAACTAAATAAAGCAGATTAAGCAATTCAGATGTGCGTTTGAGGACGAGATAATTGTATGATTTAGCTCAGACGAACCGAGGGAAATCGGAAACGACGATTTTGATTGGACTTTTCATACGAAGGTCATCATTAACATGATCTATCATCAACAGCAGCATAGCGAACTCACCTTTTACTTTTGGGGTGCAGCACATTAGCCCGCGCCGGGCCGGGGGAGGGTGTTTACTGTTTAAGTACCTCCTTTTCAGGTTTTTGGCACTTATGTGACCATCGGCTTCTTGTCTTTGGCATAACTTACTCTCCACTGCATACTGTGCCAATTCCCCCCCCCCCTTGCCGTAGAAACCTCTCACTGCCTTCTCACCCATTGTTAACTAAGCGGGAAAATAAACAATGGCCGGTACCACTGGCGTAAAACGTGCATATGCCTTGCGTACGTGACGGTGTTTCTCTCTTATCATTCCGGTCTGGACGTGGGTTTAGCCCTATTACTGGTGGGCTCTCTAGACTACGTCAACTGGTGGAGGGGGCCGATCCCCCCCCCCCATTGATATCTCGAAAGCTAAATGTCCATGGGTGTAGGAACGGTTGGAACATTGTGGGTGCCAGGGTGCAAAAATCCAGCCATGGCCCGGTGAAGCGGGGGGGGGGGGTAGGGACCTGGCAGGACCCTATCGACGGACCCTACCACCCGTAGGGAGGGGGGGGGGGGGCGGCGTTTCGGCCCCGCCCGGCTAAGATCTCGGAAATTTACCGGCCGATTTTCAAAATTCAAACGGCGTTCGATAGCCCCACCGGGGAACTACCTTGTAACCAAGTTTCATTGACCTACGTCAAACTGAAAACGTCACAGGTCAGGTCAAAGGTCGGATTTCACCGTTCACAGGCATTTCAAGAACTGTGTTGTGAAATCAAGTAAATTGGTAAGTTATTGAAAACCATCGATGGTACAGGGTGTCCAGAAAAAACGGATACTATTATTTTTTGCTGTAATTCCGAAAATAAACACCGCACATTTTAAAATGGCACATGCTTGTATTCGCAAAAATATGGCAAAACAGACAGCAGGTGCCACATGGCATGTAAACCCTTTGGTTAGTCGCGGCAGCTCCTCAAAGCAGATATTCAATGTGAGCGGCCTTCCGGCGGATCAGCTCCAGCACTAGCACGGTCGGCAGGTGACTGATGGTCATGTTGACCCTCTCGGAGGGCAGGCAGACAACTTTCCAACGACGCATTACAGTGCTCATGAGTTTTGCCAAATCTTGCACTATAAGCACATGAAGTTGAAAAAAAATCGGCACGTGCGTTAATAAATGCGACTTAGTTTCCGTAGTATCTTTTTTTCTGGACACCCTGTACGTTGTTCGTCAAACACATACTTTGCTATCTGAGGTCACTGATACCAGGTCAGGCCACAGAGGTCAGGTCACTGGGGGTCACAATATGAAAGTGACGTGTGATACATGTTTTATGGTTCATTTTACATGACAAATGCGATGATTTGGGTCAGGCAGCCTTTGGGAGCAGCTTACCCAGTAAACATGCCGACGTCGGCCCGACGTCGGCAAACATCGGGGTGACGTTGGCATCTCGGCATCGACATGCCGACGTCGGTCCGACGTCGGTCCAACCTCGGCGCGACGTCGGACCGAGATCAATTGCTGAGGTCCAGCCGACGTCGGACCGACATCGGGGCGACGTCGGACCGACATCGGCCGCTGTTTTGACCGTTAAAATAACATAAAATGCATGTTTCACGTTTCATAAAGAGCTTCTGTATTCAAAATATCCTCAGGAAAGTCAAATCTTCCTCCACGCCGCAACCCCCTGATCCGGACTGGACGGGAAACTTTATCTCATTCATTTGGGATTGCCCGTAAGCCGAGCTCGCCCGTGGCCGGGTGCGGTGAGTGCTTGGGGGCTGCTCGGCCTATCCTTTGCGGGTCAGGCTCAGCCCCGGCAACTCACTAGGGCCGGGCCCAGTTCATATAGAAAGGCCAGTCGGCAAGTGTCACTTTGCGAAAAGTGCCACTTACTTATCAAAGGGACACTTTTGGAAACGTTGGTGCAGGTGTGTAAGAAGGTGGCTATATGAATCCATTTGTGGGGTCGCCCTTTCCAAAAAGTGTCACGTAACAGCAATGGGACTCTATATGAACTGGACCCAGGGTGCTCGCCAAGACCAATGTCTCCATCCTATCATCCTTCCGGCTCTGAAATGGTCGTGTCAGACCGAAAGGGCATAACCCGACAAAACAAACTGAATTCGCCATCTGGCTGCGTGGTGCAGTGGTTAGCGCACTAGCCCCGTGTTGAAATGACACGGGGTTCGAATTCCGTCGCCGGCTGACGCTTTTTGCGCGTTGTCCCAGTAAACATGCCGACGTCGGCGACTGGAGGGTTCGAATCCCGCCGCCGGTTGATATTTATGGCGCGTTGTCCCAGTAAACATGCCGACGTCGGCCCCGTAGGTCCAACGACAAACGATCTCGTCAACTTCGGCTCGACGTCGGCTGGACTTCGGCTGGACGTCGGTACATGCGGGCGTACCCGACGTCCAGCCGATGTCGGGCCGAGGTTGAACCGACTTTGGGCCGACGTCGGGCCGAGCCTCGGGATGACGTCGGGCCGACGTCGGCATGTTTACTGGGTAGGGTACATTTTGGTGAAGGTCAGGTCAAATTAGGTCAAATGACAAAGTTGATGTTCCTGCATAAAATGGGTATCGATTCGATGCAGCTCGTCACGGGGATTCTAATGGTGGTCTTTGCTTTGCCCTACGTGGTCTAGAATTGCCAAAAATTGAGTTTGAAAATTTGACGTCATCATTTTTGAAGTTTTTTTTTTCGCTATAACTTGGCCAAAAACGAGATATTGATCTGACATTTGGTATGTAGATATAAGACGGTAGGTTAACCCGCGCCCAGCTGGGGGTCCTGGATTTCCACGCCCTGCTGGGGGGGGAGGTGTTTGATTTGAACAACCCCCCCTTCTAACTCGGCTCCTGGGCCACGTAGCGATACGCGGAAGACGGCGTTCGAAAGAACGTCAAAAATAATGACGAAATCACTTTGGTCAATTTTTTGGTCAGGTCAAAGGTCAGGTCACCAGAGGTCATTGACGGCAAAATTTCGCCGATTTCCAGGTCGAATGTCGACAATTTCCAAGAAGCCAACGCATAACTCGGGAACCAATAGAGCTATAGCGCCGCGGAAAAGCGCATTCGATAGCCCTATCAACGCCCTTTCTGAATAACTCTTTCAGATTTGACCTAACGTCAACAGTTTTGCCTGCAGGGGGCAAAAACTGCCAAAATAGCCGATTTTTTCGGAAACAGTTTTTCTGCAATAACTTTTGACCCAAGCCTTGTACGAGCTTACTTTTACCGGCATCGTGTTCCTCTCGTCAAGACGCATCGAATGAACTATAGCTTGACCTTGAAAGGTCAACTTGAAAATTTGACCTCAGGTCAATGTCATGACCTGACCGGAAAGGGTCATGTTGCATATCAGTCGATCCGTATCGTCGAGCTGAACACATCTAAGGCGTTTTTATCGCTCTAGCATGCCTCTATCAAAAGTTATTTGCGAAAAAACTGTTAGATACCATTCGTGACCTAAGATGACCTCAGGGCATAAACAGGGGTCACGGACACCATTTTCATGTTCACTGTGTCTAAACCACTTGTAATTCAGTGTTTGGGAGTGTTTATAATGTCTTTCGTCCAAAAGAGGCGCATTTCAATTTTCTCCCGTTGACATAGGTAATGGGGAGGTCGCAAAATTGACCTGACCTTAGGTCATCGATATAGAAATTCTGAGATATACATTTTGTACATGCTATTGGTGTTCAAACACCACCCCCCCCCCCAGGCAGGGCGCGGGTTATGTATGTATGTATGTATGTATGTATTGACGATCAAGAGCAATCCACAATCGGCGTGGCGATTACACTCCGAGTCCGAGCTGGTTGAAGATAACACAAGAAATACCTACACAAGAAAACGCACACACTTACGGATACGAAATACACAACGCGAACGCCGAACACGCACATACTTGGTGTAACCCGCACGAAGCCGCGTTCATAACTATATGTTACGGGTCATATGCTAACTTGGGCAGTATGCAAACTACCCGGGCAGTATGCATACTACCCAACAGCCCGGGCAGTATGCATACCGCCCGGGTAGTATGCATACTACCCGACCCCTTGGGCAGTATGCATACCGCCCAAAAGCTTGGGCAGTTTGCATACTGCCCGCTGTCCGACTTAAAGTTGTGTAATCCATGTCCACATTAAGAATATAAATGGCTCTCTAGATAACAATACATAGATCGACCGAGAAGAATTTTTGTCGTCCAACGTGATTGATCGATCATAAGATGGAATGAGGATTGGAATAAAGTGTTGAAATTACTTTTTCCCAAATCCATTGTTGAATAACCAGTGGCCAACAAGTCATTGTCATTGTGAAGCGTGAACTGAGTAAAATGAAACGACGACGACAAAATTTGACGTCATCAACTTTGAACAGTTCTTTTTTCGCTATAACTTTGCCAAAAAAGAGGAATCAATATCAAATTTGGTATGTGGATAGAAGGCGGTAGGGACTATCACATATTTTCCGTTTTTTTTTCGAAATTCAGAAAACAACTTTTTTGGATTTCTTGCCTATTATATTAAGAAAATTACTTTTTTGATTTTGGGGGGTCAAAATCTAAAAGTTCAAAAATCCGAAATAGCAGTTTTGTAGCCCTCTAATTCGACACCTTTTATACCTATTCTTAACCTTCGCCCCAGTGGGGGGGGGGCATATGTTACCACCCTGTCGCGTTTTTTTGCGTGTGAATAAAAAACCGCGCCGCGCCGCCTGGGGTAGCTTTTGGTACATCAATTTTGGATAATGTGTAAAATTTTTGACCCCAGGTCATGTCAGGTCAGGTCACCAGGTCAAGTTAACTGACCAAGCCTAAAAAAAAGTTTCCAATCATGTCCAGCCTACAGTGTTTGTCAGAAAGGTT